CGGCCTCTGTGAAAGGGTCGTTTGACCCCCAAAGGGGTCGTGACCCACAGGTTGAGAACCGCTGCTCTAGACCCTGATGAATTCCTTGCAGTGGTTTATATATGTTATATAATCAACCCAACCTCCCAGTCTCAAGCTTGTTCAAATGGCTTTATATGTTAGAGCAGTGGTCGGCAAACTCATTAGTCAACAGAGCCAAGTATCAACAGTACAACGATTGAAATTTCTTTTGAGAGCCAAATTTTTTAAACTTAAACTATATAGGTAGGTACATTGTTATTAACTTAATTAGGGTACTCCTAAGGCTTAGGAAGAGCCACGCTCAAGGGGCCAAAAGAGCCGCATGTGGCTCGCGAGCTGCAGTTTGCCGACTACGGTATTAGAGAAGTATTCCACCAAGGTTCTCCCCAAGTGAAAGTCTAAATTCTTCAGAGTTCCAAAAGTACATGAATCATATGAGATAACTGAAGTGTGAGCTTATCAGGAACATGAATGAGGCCCAGGCCAAAATAAGGCACTCTCTGGAATTAATGTATTTGTGTCCTTCTTTGTTTTGTTTTGTTTTTTCACACTTTACCCCAGAGGATTCAGCAGGCTACTTTGCATGGAGTGAGGTCTAGATAGTACCTAAGGAAAGTTCTGGGACTCTTAAGGGCTTCCCCACACATTTTTTCAGGTGCAAAGAAGGAACGATTATTTTTAAAAATTGTGAAGCGCTGTCAAGGAATCCTACCCCCCATGTGCTCACAAGGGTGCACAGGGAGGTCCTGATGCACTCCACTGCCTCTGCTATTGCAAGGCATTATGGGAAAGGATGAAAGAGATGTGTTACCTTCATATCATGACAAACTCCTGGCCTTGCCATGGTTTACTTATGTCATTCTTCTACTTACAATCTGTCAGTGACTCAACCCTAAACTACAGAGACTTAAGCCTAAACTACATGGGCTGGAATTTACGGCCTCCATACCTGATTACCTTTCTGCTGAACAACACAAAGGGAATCAAAAACCCTTTGCTCAGTTCACTGCCTTTCCTACCCCCAGCATTTCCACCTCCCTGCAAGATCTACCAGTGCATGGCCAAGGCATGATCCCCAAGGTGGTCTGCCCAGGCCCCCGAAAGGGTTCAGTAACCTTAGTGTGACTGGGAGAAGGGACTCCAAGAATGGCTTCTCCTAGGACACCTGGTGTCTGACACTGCCCAGGAAAAGAGGCCCGAGCAGTTAGCATGCTATTGTCCACACTGGATGTGGCTCGGGGAAGCTGGAGCACTTCCTCTGTGTGGTCAGTGGACAAAATGCCAGCAGGCAGCTTCCCAGGTCCCCCTCTGTTTCCTTGAAGAAGGTAGGGAAGTACAACTCTAGGGCTAACAAGTAGACAATCCTGCCATTGAGTTGTAGCAGCCTTTCAGACCCGGCTCAACTGCTTTCTCCTTCGGAAAGTCCTTACTACTCGCTGCCAACCCAATCCCCCAGTCTTTGCCTACTCTGGCCTTGATTTTTATTCCCTTTCATTGTGAGGTAGCCTTTTAGATGAGCATCTATTTTACCCCACTCTGCAGGTGAGTTTCCATAAGTAAAGGGATTTTCATTCTCCCATAGCTCTACTCCAAAAACTGCCTCACTTCTGTTATACTGGATTTAGTAATACAGTCAGAAGATGGAAGGAACCCCATAAATGGTACTTCTTTGCTGGGGAATATCAAGTAAGTACCTTGACCTCTCTGGTCAAATTCCCCATTTGTAACCTATCTGGAATAGGCTGCATCAGTGTTTCTCAGCCTGGGTTCCACATCTGAATTATCTGGGGATTGGTGCCAGGGACCTAACCAAGAGGAAATAAATCAGAACTTCTAGGGGTTAGGCTCAGGCCTTAGAATTGTTTTACAAGCTCTCTAAATGATTGTAATGTCCCCTAGAGTTGGAAAAACAACATTTTGGTAAAGGATTTATTTTATATGGAGTAAAAAGTTAGCAGAAATAAACTTAGGGTTTAGAGATAGGGGCTGTGACAGCACTGGGTTAGGGGCGACCAGGCCTATGAGCAATGTGTCTCCATTTGCCCAGCTGCTAAGGAAGATCACAAACAACATTATCACAGAATCTTATTATACATGGGCACAGGTAAAGTCAAGCCCAACCCTAATAGTTTTCTTATGTGACTCAAACTCTAATATTTTAAGATGAGGCAGGGATCATAAACATAGCCAGCCCTAAGGGATTTGGTTGTTATTGTACAATTCTTCCTGGAAGAGGATCTTTTGATTAATTTTTAAGTACGGATTTTACAAGTTCCTATCTTATTAAAGGATGGAAATTCTTTCCCAATCACCAAGGAGACAATAAGCTTAAAGGAAGCTCATTTTGAAAGATCTGAGGAACAGGTTTCCTGAGAAAGCTGAATTCTAAAGTGTTTTGACCCCATGAGGCAAAATGAATAGTGAATTCAAGCAAACGTGAGAAAATGCATTTTCCTTTAGATAATCTAGCAAACAAGTTTAAAAGGTAAATAAACAGTTCCTTAGATCAGTTAACAGTTGTGGATAAGATTGTCCTTCAGAAAAATCTCAAAGCTAAATAGATATAACACACAACAGATAACTTCTAAGTCAATATATTCCTATACTTTAATTTCTTTTCCTAATCTCTGTGATATTTTTCTTTGTTAGTTCCATTAAACAAATATATATTGAGTACCATCTATATACCAGATCTGGGGAACCATTCCTGAAATGTGCAGATGTTGAGTATTATTCTTGGTACAATGACATTTGCCTTAAGAGAATTCAGTATGTAAAAATTACAATTTTTAAAGGATTATGCATAAATGGTATTATTCCAGAAGGTTTACTTTGAAATCCTTTTTTTTTTTGAAGTGCACGAAAATGTAAAACCTAAACCTATGATAGTTTTCAAGAAAAACTCTCCAATTATAAATTCATGAGCCCAGTCATTATTTAGTGAAGCTCATCTTTTCTAGGAAATTTTCACTGAGAAGGAAAAATCAGAATGATTGTCAGTTCCAAGTCCCTGGGGGAAATCATCCTGATGAATACTAGTGGAAAGGAAGAGAAAGAAGTCCATATTAGTGTGGGAGCTGCTTTGATGGGCTTCCTTAACCAAAATTAAGTAAAACAACATCATGACTCAACTTCTCTTTTTATGTGGTGGGGGAAATAACGTTTATGCAGAGCAAGTTGCAGGAAAGCAAGAATACAAATTAGCGTTCTGTCTGGCAAACCAAATACAGTTTCTGCTAATTGAGATCATTATTTACCATATCCTTTGAAATATTATAGTCATACAAGGAGTAGGCTTTGCTACTCAAGGTATAACTTCTTTATGAAAGCAACTTGACTAAATATGAGATATCTGTGTGATTCGGGTGATGCCACTCAAAACAATGTTGTTCTTCTCTGTATCTGTATTGAGATATTCATCTTCAAGAAATTCTGTGAAAGGAAGCCCCGGACAATACTTGACCTCTAGGCTGACATGGTGAAGAAGCGCCCTTCCTATGTACGGATGCCCTCCACTGATTATGTTATACTCTTGAAGCTCTGGGAAAGAGCAAAGCTACAGGACTGTAGCAACTACCACAAAGTTTTATAAATGGCAACATCTGTCTACTGACCATGCCCTCAAGGAGACAGACCACATGGTGCTTAAAAGAGAAATTATCCCCACATGAAAAAGGGGTAAAAAATGACTCATTCCACAGCTTGAACTCCAGTAAGACTGGTGGACAAAACTCTCAAAGACATGCATATTGAAAGAGGACATTCTCCAGTCCTATATGTGGCTTCTAATTTTCGAGGCACAGAACAAGGTTTCTGATATCCATCCTTCCATCCCCTTCTTCTGCAATTTAGCTATGGAAATACAAAAACACGACGGGACCCTAGTTTTTAAACTTAGGTTTAGTCAGAAAGCAAGCAGCGAGCAGAACACGAGGACTAAAAATGGTAAAATGATGGAAAGACAAACTTGTGATCCATTGCAATGCCTCAGATAGTTATCATCTTTCTGGGTCTCCATTTCCATAGGATCTGTAAGGCAGGATCATTATACCCATCCTAAAGGATTGCTTCCAGAATTAAAGATGGCATGTGAGTGAAACTGTTTTATGGACACTAAAGCATCCTATTAACCTGAGAGATTGTTTAAAAATTACTATCACCAGGCACGGTCAAGGTTGCCAGGCTAGACTTTGCGCACCCTGGTGCTATTTCCCCCAGAAGCCGCAATGATAGTAAAGTTATTCAAATCATTTCTCTTTTCTGTGTTCCTGGCACTAGTTTTCATTTGCCTGGACATGTAGGCAAATGACTATTTTTATAACGTTTGCTGCGCTTTGAATACTTATTTGACAGCTATTTTAACAACAACAAAAACCAAAACACTTTGTTCTCAAGAGATATGCACCCAAGAGGACTGCGGACAGAAATGTTCATTAAAAAGCAGGCTCTCTACTGAGCCCTGGTCACCACTGGCAAAGTGCACACAAGCGCCTGCTGGCCACCAGCACAGTCGTTAACTACCCACTCTCGCCCCTTCCTTTTCTTATAAATTGAAGGCACTTCAGTTTAGAGAACAGGGGCCAAGTCTGCCTCCGTGACCATCTTGTGTAACATGGGAAGGTGATTTAAGAGAGGCGATGCCGGATCCATCAGACTTTCCCAAGATTTTCAACAGCTCACACAGAAGTCTCTTTAATAAAACTTTTATTAAAGTACTGATCATAATCAAAATAGTACATTGTATCAGAGGTCAAGTATTGTTTGGGGCTTCCTTTCCCATAACTTAAAGATGTAACGAGAAGAGCAAAACTGTTTTGACCAGCAGAACACAAGTAAAGCAGACATCTAACATTTAGTCAATTGCTTCTATAGCAAAGAAGTTACACCTCTGACTGGCTTATTTCACTTAGCATAATGCTCTCCAGTTCCATCCATGCTGTTGCAAAAGGCAAGAGTTCCTTTTTTTTTTTTTTTAAGCCAGTCAGAGAAAGATAAATACCACATGATCTCACTCATTTGTGGATTATAGAGAACAACATAGACTGATGAAAAGGGACAGACCCAAAGACTGAGAAACAGCAATCAGGCTATCAATCCCCAGAAGGGAAGTAGGGGAGGGCGGGGGTAAGGGGAAGAGACCAACCGAAGGACTTGTATACATGTATATAAGCCGAACTAATGGACATGGACAACAGCGGGATGGGAGCATGAGTGTGTGTGCGGGGGGAGGTTGAGGGTTAATGGGGGAGGGGGGATAAGGACACACTTGTAACACCTTAACTAATAATAAAAAAAACGAAAAAAAAAAAAAAAGAAGTTACACCTCGAGGAGTAGCAAAGCCATTAGGCTTGGAGTAGGATGCATTTGATCTCCAATAGTTATTCAAGAACTAAACACTGATCGGTTAAGAAACTAGATTTCCCCCCTCCCTGTGCCCTGAAGGCAACATAAGCATTTCACTAACAAACTGGTAACAGGAAACACTCTGAGCTGGACAAAATACTTTGCATAGTGCTGAATAAATATAAGTGATTATGTAATTACCACAAACATCCTCACCAACATCGTCGTCAAAATCTTGGAAGGTAATTGCTCTCGGCAGTTTGAAAGCTTACCAATGGTACATCAAATTTAAAGGACTCTGTCTCAACCGTTTCCAGTAAGTGCCCCAGGAAATGAAGACATAAAATTCTTATTTCACCTCCTTTCTCTCCCATTGCTCGTCCATGTTTAATGTTATAAAGTCATTGGTGGCTCCAGAATTCCCAGAGAGGAAGGGCTCTATGGGTGATGATGAGCCAGCTGGAAGGGAGGCTGGTCGGGAAGCTGGGCAGGCACAGGAAGTGTACTACCTCTGGTTTCTAGACTCGCATTCATCGGGGGGCGGGGGAAGGGGGAGAGGGAGGGCTTCACGGGGAGCTGATGGAGATGATGGTGGGAGAGGAAGCTGAAGACTTTCAAGAACATCCTTGGACCTTTAAGACTCATTCCTATGAAGCACCCATCGAAGAAAGCCTCCATATTTAAGTCTCCTTAACATGCGCCCTTGACGGGGCTTTCCAAAAAGTACAACCAGAAGTCACCTTTGCAATATGGGATGTCCGCCCTCAGGCCGGTAGAAGAGTATCAGTGTCTTCAGACACTCACCATGCACCAAGCAAGACCCTCATTCAACGGCCCTTCTCCAACCACCCCAATGACAGGAGATAACCTATGATTCATACAAGTGAAAGGCGGGAGTGGCAAAAATTGTCCTGAGTCAGATGGGATGGTTTCCTTTATGACTTTTTCTGGCCTCTCCAGTCATAACATGTTGGCCCTCTATAAAAAAATTCACACACAAGAAGATAAATGAATCAAAGGCAGCCTGCAATGGATGGAAAAACAACAACCCTTAACACCCACAGACTACTGCTCCCCCAAACTCACAGACACCGAAGACTGAAGACAGAGGAAACCTCCACTGTAAAGAGCAACTCACACATATCAGAGCATCTGAAATTTCCCATAAGCCCACATTCTCTCAAGCAACACTGTAGGTGGCTATAAATAACACAGCCATGGATGACAGACACACTTGGTGGTGAAAAGGTAAGCAGTCTAGTGGGAAAAACGTGTGTGTGTGTGTGTGTATGTCCTGTCACCCCGTCTTGGATTGATAAGCAGTATTTCCCTGGCCTTTAAAAGTAATGAATTCCAGATAGCAACAGTATTTTAGTGAAATGTGTGCTGGGTGCTAGAGAAGAATGAGACGGTTCTCCTTCAAAGAGTTTTCATCCTAGTAAGAGTGTTGAAACACACACACACACACAAACAGCCACAGGTAGCCCAATGGCCAAGGCCATCTGAGTGAGAAGCAAGGCCTGTTAGAGAGACTGTGAAGATTAAAAAGGGAATTCTGATTGGAATAATAACAGAAAGATGAAATAGAAGAAGTGGCATGTAGTCATGCATTATTTCAGAAGGAGGAGGTATTATAAGGTCTAGGTAGAAAATGGGAAAAATTGGGAGGAGCAGAAAGTCACAAGTTAGAAAATTGGAAAGCAAAAGAATGTGTGAGAAAGCCTGATTGGAGTGGAGCCAGGGCCTGGAACATGCGCAAAGGAAGTGAGAAAGAAGGCTGGTCAACTCCATGCATGGGGCCATCAAACAGCCCTGTGTCCCATCTGTGTGTCTTAGGAGCCAGGGTCACTGAGACAGCCTCTGCCCTCAAAGAGGAAGCCAGGGCCATGTAATCACCTGGATTCCAGGGAAAGGATCCAAGGAAGATTTTCTAACAGAGGCCACCTATTCAAAATGATGTGTGTGGAGGTGGGGGGAAATTTAACTGATAACAATGTATACGTGTGAAAGAGATAAGGGACATGGGGTGGCCATGGGCAGAAACCAATAAGGAGATTCTTACAGATGACAGAGAAGAAGAGTTAGCCTTGCATTGTGGTAACATAATGTAAGAGCAAAAATGAAACCGAATGGTTATACATTTCATGTAACTAGCTTCCTCTTGTAAATAAATGTCTGATTAAGAGATTCTAGGTATTAAGATTTTAAAATTATTCTGATAAATAAGTTGACATTTGATGCAACAGGAAACGACATGAGATAGAGGTTGCAATGGAAAGTCCTTCACTGTTCTTTTTTTCTTGTTTTCTACGTATAGTTAAGATGTCAAAAGAAAAACATTAGGTCAGAAAAGAAAATGATTTGGAAAACTCAGAAAGTGGCCATGAGAACCGGTTGTTGTGACTGATAGGGACCCATAATACTTGAAGAAAAAATAATCGAGGGGCAAAGAAATTGCCTTTCGGTGAGTAAAATACAGAAGCCAGTCAATGAAACAGCCAAGAGCGGTATTCTCGGAACCGTCTAAAATAAACCTGGAGAGGAAAAATTTAGTGAGTCCTCACTGAGCAGCAGCCAGATAAGTTTCTGAAGACAAAAGAAGTTGTTTTGTTTTTTTTAATATTGATGAGTAGCACTACTTTCTTGAAAAACTTGACATCAATTCATTCATTTATTGGGTACATACTTTGTACACAGTAGAGTGCTATGGATTTTAAGTAATGCTAAGGTAGAATAGCTCTTAAGTAAGGCCTACAACTGTCAAGGCCAACTGTTAGATGTCTGGTGAGTAAACATGATGAGTGCTGTGAATTCAGCAGAGGAACGGTTCCCTGGCACCCACCGTTGGTGGTCAAGGGACATTCAGTGGAGGAAAGAACATGAAGGATGCTTTGGGGAAACAGACTGGTTAAAACTAACGTATTAATTGACCTGCCATCAATGCCTTCTCTCTTCTGCTACCCTTAGTGCATTCCTTACAACCAGTTAAACGGGGCCCTGGGGCTGAGGAGGAGTCAAAACACCCTCATAAAACCAGGAGCTACTCTTCCTTGAACCTTCTCTTGCTCAGTGCCAGAAACGAGCTGGGTCTGATCTACTGAAATCAGTGCAGATGCTGGACTCCTCTGTGGAAAATGCTTCCATGCTACTAGAGCAGTGCTTCTCAAACATCAATGAGTCACCTGGGGAATCTTGTTAAAATGCAAGTCCCCACGCGGTAGGTCTGGAGAGGGGCCCGGCGTTCTGCATTTCCAATAAGCTCTCCGTGCTGCTGATGCCGGTGGTCCCTGGGCCACCCTTGCAGTAGCAAGGCAGTAGAACATCTTTAGTTGCCATTATCAGGGGATGATATAAAAGCATCGTTTGGAGGGTCAGAATGCTCAAACTCAAGATTTGGGCCTCAGTGCACATTGAGAGGCATGAAAGGTAAAGTTAAAAAAGGAATGAGGCTCCTGAAAGAGTGAGGAAGAACAAGCAGGGTTGCAAGCTGGAGGTGATGGAAAACAAGAGATAGCAACAAAGCCAAAGACTGGCTGGCCTGTTGCTCATTAGAATAAATAAATAGGTGATAAGAGAGGCAATAAAAATTATATGATTAGTTAGAACAGAAATCATAAGGATAAAAGTAAGAGTGCCGCCCAGCCAGGGTGGCTCTGTGGTTGAGCGTCCACCTATGAAGCAGGAGGTCACGGTTCGATTCCCGGTCAGGGCACATACCCAGGTTGGGGGCTCAGTCCCTAGTGTAGGGTGTACAGGAGGCAGCCAATCAATGATTCTCTCTCATCATTGATGTTTCTACCTCTCTCTTCCTCTTCCTGCCTCTCTGAAATCAATTTTAAAAAAAGAGTCTGGAGAGGGGTTAGATTGTTAGGAGTTATTTCATAACAATGTTAAGGGAATCCAGAATAGTGAATACAAAATATTATTTGGGGGTGGTTTTATTTCCCTTTTCATATATTTAAGGAAAATTTTATCACTTTTTTGCCCAATACTATGGGTTTTAGAGAATAAAACATGAATGTGATATGTAGCAACAAGATAGTCATTCACAACAATAGTTAGAAGCCTTCTCCTCTGTGCTAAGCAGCATCTGCAGACCACATTCTGTAAAGTGTAAAACACTTTCTACAGAAATGCAATTATGGGACTCACAGCGACTCCCCTGCCCAAAAAAGCAGTCTGAAAACTGCCAATGTGTAGCAAATTCTGTCTTTTCTGGGAGTATTTTAAGAAAAGTGGTAGAGAAATCTTTGAAAGGCAACAGATGACTAATTATATTCAGACAAGTTTCCTTTCTTTTCCTCCCCTCTCCCCCCCAAAAAACATAGCAGCTCCTTGAGAGCTTTCTTTTCCTAGACATGGCCAAGCATTTCACGATGCTCTACCTTAGGAAAACCCTCACAGACATGTTAACCAACCCAGAGGAAGGGAAGGATAAAAACACCATAAGCAACCAAAGAGAAATGGAATTACCACCAAAACCAAGTCAGCCTTTTCTTCAGAAGGAAGGATTGCTAGCTGGTGTCAACATGCTATTTAGTCAAGGATGTATGCTCAGGCACCCGAACTAGGAACTTTTCACAAGAACTATGGTTTCTTTTCCTTTTATTAACAGTAGTCATTGCCAACAAACTCCAAGTGAATGTCTGTGGTATTTGTCAGTTCTGACCTGTTACGATTTTTGACAGATTTCTATTTTCACTAGTTAAAGTTTGTGTTTTCTAAGTCACTTCAATGGTTTCCTCTATTAACTAACCTACAGAATGAAAGATTTCAACAGGAAAAAAAAAGTGAAAATCTCAGCTAGTCCAATTCATATCACTGTGCACGGAAGAAAAATGAGACCCAGTGAGACCAAAGGACTTAAGCAGGTCACCCAGACACCTCGATTGCCAGTATCACATGCTTTAGTCTTTACCAGCTGGCCCCTAGGGAGAGTCTTAATCTCCAGCTAAGGGTTAGATCTGGGTTACCTTTCATTCAAGATCAAGGTTTTGTGATAATTACATATTTGCAGTTTCTTTTCAGCTTGGCATGGGGCTTCTACACTAGGGAAATGATGAAGGGGTTTAGCTACATGGAGCGGGGAGGGGAACAGATGGTGATGTAACAATGCAGGCTTAAGTCTGTTTGTCCATAAGACGGGGAGAAGGAAACAGTCATTATTATTTATTTTCTAAGTCAAAAAGCAAATACTACCATTAGGCATAGAGTCAGGTCTCATGGAAGCTGAAACTTTAAAATTTCAGGGACACTTTTTCAGAAAAAGAATACAAAAATTAAGAATAGAAATTTAGGTATGAAAGTGAATATTTAGAATTTAGAATGGCTTCTTACAAATTACATATCCTATTTAATAAATCCCTAATATGCAAATCAACCGAATGGCAGAATGACCGGTCGCTATGATGCGCACTGACCACCAGGAGGCAGATGCTCAATGCAGGAGCTGCCCCCTGGTGGTCAGTGCGCTCCCACAGTGGGAGCGCTGCTCAGCCAGAAGCCAGGCTCATGGTAAGGAGCGAGGGGTCCTGGACTGTGACAGGGCACAGGCCGGGCTGAGGGACTGAGGGACTCCCCTCCTCCCCTGCCCCCCAGTGCACGAATGTTGTGCACTGGGCCTCTAGTTTAAAATAAAAGCTGTAAATAACACACATATAAAACTTAAAAGAAAACAAACATGTGTGTTAGTTAACTGCCTGACACACTTCTGAAATACTTCTACTACATTTTTTTTGGTTGCCTACTGTTTGACCACCAGTTCCAGGGATATTTTGCAATATTGTCCACAGAGAAAACAGAAAAATAATTCAATCTTTCCTCTAGAGCTGTTAATCAGAATTTGTAATTTATTGTTGAATAACTTGGAAAAGTTTCTTTCTGCTTCACAACTCATTGTAAGTACTATCATATAAATGTTTGGAGTGCCTCTCAATTTGGAATAACCTCTATCAAATTTCTTTTATATGTGAGCTGTAGTATTCGGGTCACTGCAAGATTTCTTAAATATTCTTTAACTTGATGAGACTCATTAGCCACACTGGCAGGGCCCCATCCAGAGCCAGGAGATGGGCCTGTACCAGGGAGCAGACTTGAGTTAAATTCCATTCACTTCATGATAAAGTCTTCTCAGCATACCATACACATCCCCCACATATGTAGGCATCCTTGCATTCACCCAATCCTTCCAAATAAAGTGGCTGTTCTGCCCAGAAAACCTAAGCTCTTTGATGCTGTAACTATTCCATGATTCAGCCCAGCCTCTATCACCTGATGTATATATATATTTCATTTCCCGTTGAGATCACAAGACAGGTATGATGTTTGACTACTCTGAGTATGAATCAAACATCATTTTATTTAGCTAAAGAAAGTAAGTGGGATAACATAAAAAATGCTAAAGGGTTAGAAAAATGTTGAATATTATCATTATTTCTCTTAATCCCTAGAGTCTCCCAAAACCCATGCTACAATGAAGAAGTGATTTATGTCAATTGAGGTGGCCTAGTCTCAGTATAACATAACAATTAAGGTCCAGGGCCCCAAACCAGAGTATTATCCATTTACTAATCGGGTGACCTTCA